GATGTTGGCATTGCTTCTCTGTTGCGGGCTTCACGCCCCAACCCCTCTTCTTCATAGCTGCCACGAAAGACAAAACAATTAAGACGGCGGAACGTACTGTCTGTTCCCTTGATGGATGCCTGGGACATGGTGTGGGCGAGCGCCTCGATGTTCAGCGTGCCGTGGGATTGCAGCTGTTGTGGTGGTGGCTTGTGTGCACCAGCGAGTGTGGGCAGGTGTCGCGTCTTCTTCGCGTTCTCGTTGTTCTTCTGCACACACACACACACACACACACACACACACACACACACACACACACACACAAGACGCACACATACACATACACACACACACGCACGCACGCATAGTTCGAGTGTCAGTTGAAGTGTCACGGGAGATAAACCAAGCGGTCAAAGCCCAAAGGGATGAGCGTGTACAACGTACGCCCCCGCATGACACCACAGCCACACCACGGCCCCCAAAGAGCCGACTCACCCTCTTCCGTCTGCGCGTGGCTGGCGGTGAAATGCGTGCAAGCAGCGCCCTCCACTCGGGCTCATACGTGTCTCTGTTGTCGCAATGGAGGTGTTGGGTCGGGCGTGTGAGTGCATGGCGAGCGACAAGACAAACGAATGCATGGCGCGATGGGTGTGGGGTCGAGGGTGTGTGTGCATGGGCCAAATGTATCGAGCTCACTCACACACATACATCGACAAAACACCCACCTGAAGTCGTCAAAGTATTTGTGCGCGAGGGCCTCCGTGCACGATGCACGGTCTGCAGGCTCGCAGTCGAGGCAGAACTGGCGATGGTGGTGGATATGGACGTGAGTTGAAAGCAAAGGTGCGCGGATGTCGAAGAGGTGAATGGCACCAGCACAGATCAAGGAAGACAGCCGCACGCACAACGAGACACACGCTCGCTCGCACGCACGCACGCACGCATGCATGACGAGACACACACTCACAACATTCACACATACGCACGCACGCACGCGCGCGCACGCACGCGCAGAACCCTTCTCCCCCTTGTCCCCCCGTGCCTCCAACCTTCATGAAGCGAATGACGGGGGCCTTGAAGTGGCGGAAGCGGTGCTCAAGGGGCCGAATCTTGTCTGGATGCACTTCAGGCAGCTTCAGGCCCTTGAAATACTCGTTCTTGCTGAACACTTGCACGTGGCGCGGAGACAGTTTACCTGCAGGCACGACCAAACCCAAAGCCAAACGGAACGACGAGAGAAGCGGTGTCGGTGCGGTCAGTCACGTGTGGCCAACGCGCATGAGTGTGGAGGCGCGACAAAGGGAAAATAAATCTCACATGGGGAAGTGTGGAGGTGCGTGCATGTGAAACGATTCGTGCAAGCGGAACAGAAGTGGCAGCGAACAGAGACAAAGAGAGGCGGATAAAGGGCAACTTATGGTGGCGTCGGCACACCGTCATAAACCACCGTGTCATCATGCCACCACTCTAAAACGAACCGAAGGTCTGGATGATGTGATAGAGCTGGTCGATATCGCTCTTGCCCGGCCAGAGGGGATTCCCAGTCAACATCTCCGCAAACACGCAGCCTGACATTGGAGGAGGGGGGAGGGGGAACAAAGTTGAGGGAATGGGGAGGGGGTGAGAGGAGAGAGAGGAGAGAGGAAGACAGGAGGTGCATGTACATTGAAACACAGAATACGCACGCACACACACGCGCACGCACATACACATTGCACACATTGCACGCGCACACACACACACACACGCACATGCGGCATGCACATATGTGCATACAGTGTGTGTGTGTGTGTGTGTGTCTGTGTGTGTGTGTGTGTCTGTGTGTATGTGTGTGCGTGTGTGTAAGCAACATACCGAGCGCCCACACGTCGACTTTTGATCCATATTGGGTGTCGCCGACAAGCAGTTCGGGTGCACGGTACCACCTGCGAGGGCGATAGTCGTGGCGAAAAAGAAACAAGAGGAGGGGGAAGGGGCAAAAGACGGAGCAAAGGGACAGAGGTGTGAGGCTGGTGTGGAGTGCAGTGTGCGATGGCAACAAGCAGATGGGTACGGCCGCAACTTGCGAGCGACGACAGGTGGAGGAGGGGTGGACATACCGTGTTGCCACGTATTCTGTGTAGATGGCACCTGGTCCGCCTATTCCGAGTGTCGTCCAAGCAAGATGGTGAGCAGGACAAGATGAGCTGCAGGTGCGGATGCCTTCCACACATTGACACAGGCACACGCACCCATGAAAGTACACAGGCACACGCACGCATGAACCACAATACTGCACAAGCGCACACACGTGTATATATGCATGCAGGCACGCGGATGTGTACCGAGTGTGCGAGCGAATCCAAAGTCGCAGAGCTTGACAATGCCTTCCTTGGAGATGAGGATGTTCTCCGGCTTTACGTCGCGGTGCACAATCTGAGGTGGGAACCATGACATGACATACGCGGGGTTGGGGGGGGGGTTGAAGATGAGGTGTAAGTTGACTGTTGTGATGGTCGAACACAGCACGTACAAGACACAACGAAAAACGAGAAAGAGGTAGAGGGCAGGGGGGTTGCCGGCAGGGAGGTTGCGGGCAGGTAGGCGGGGAGACAAACACAGAGAGAGGGGAAGGAGGGAGGGAGAGAGAGAGAGAGAAGCACACACGCTCGCACACACGCACACGCACACGCACACACACACAACCACAACCACAACCACAACCACAACCACAACCACAACCACAACCACAACCACAACCACAACCACCACAACATACACACACAAACACAGAAGCATGTGGGCAAAGAGACGGACGTTGTTTGCATGGCAGTATTCGAGCGCCTTGAGGGTTTGAAACGTGATGCGCTTGACATGCACCTCGTCCAGCCTGAATACGTGAAACCATCGCATGCACACGCGCTTGAGCATGAGCACGACCGATCTCGCGTGGATGCTCACACATGTTGCGGCTTCGAGACAAACACGCAAACACACGCACGCACGCACGCACACAAAAGCGAACACGCAAACACACACACACACACACACGCACGCACACGACTTACCCGCGTGGATTTGCATCGAGCTCGTCGAGGAGTGTGTGGTCAATGTACTCAAAGACAAGGTGCAACTTGCGTTTCCTTCGGAACACCTCTTGCAAGTGAACCAAGTTACCATGCTTCAACGACTGCAACAAGAAGGACGTGTGTGTTCCACATTGTCAGATGCCTCAAAGCAACCCGCGCACTAAATTTCACAAGAACACACATGCGCACGCGCACGCACACGCACACGCACACGCACACGCACACACGCACGCACACGCACACGCACACGCACACGCACACACGCACACACACTCACACGCACGCTTGCAAAGGTACTTTCAATTGCACAAAGCGTCCTCGCCACAACACCCACAACAAATGCGATGACAGCCCCATGTTGTTGAACCTTGAGCATGCGCACTTCACGCAAGGCGATCTTGCGAATCTGAGGGTCATCTTCCGTCTCCAGAAACTTCTTGATGGCCACAATCTTGCCCGTATCCTGAACCCAGCACACAAAACCGAGCCAAGCAGGCAATCGTGAGTCAGAATCCATGCACCTCATGCAGACAGTTGACACCATCAGCCACACACAAGCACACACAAGCACACACACACATGCAAACACAATACACAAGCACACACAAGTATGCAAACAAGCAAACACAAGCAAACACAACACAGACATGCTACCTTGTGCCGGCACTTGATGACGGCGCCATACGAGCCCTCGCCAATCTTGCTCAGCTTCTCATACTTCTCCATGTTCTTCTCGCGAGGACACCTGCACACCTACGCTAATCACCAAGACCCGTACACACGCCTGGGTGTCGCCAGTCACGTCACACAGCCAAGGGATCGTCGTGTGTGTGTGGTGGGAGGCAAGTGCTGGCTTCTTGCTTGCTTGCTTGGCTCTCTGACGGCTCAGCTCCGGTTGGTCGGTTGGCAGCGCATTCAACCCAAACAAATCGTGCCGCAGAAAGATGCATGAAGATTTTGGTGAAAGGCAGTCGGTTGCTGGGGCTGTCACAATTGACAGCTGGTCAGCAATCCGCCAAATTCAAATATCACAACAACACACGATGGAGGACAGAGTAGCGAGCACGACGGCGACGACGGCCACGACATCGACGAGGCAGCCTCGCTTTGACGCAGCGCTGCTGGGCAGACGCCAGCGTCGACGACAGCACAACAACAAAGATGGCACCGCGAAGAATGCAGCAACTGACATTTGCAGCGGCAGCAGCAGCAAGGACAAGGCGCCCCGACGAGTGCCTCTCGGAACTGTCAACACCAACGTCTCCGGACCAAGCCGAGGTGTGTGTGTGTGTGTGTGATTGTGTGTGTGTGATTGTGTGTGTGTGATTGTGTGTGTGTGTGTTTGTGTGTGTGTGTGTGTGTGTGTGTGTGTGTGTGTGTGTGTGTGTGTGTCCGTGTGTGTGCGTCCATCTGTGTCCGTCTGTGTGTGTGTGTGAGTTCGTCACGTAGTTGTGCACTCGCATGCTTGGGTTGTGCTGCGTCAAAGTAAGCACAAGCTGCAGCCTCACTGCTCAATCTGCTTTGTCGTTGCGCTGTTAACAGAGTTGGCACCGTGGAAGGCTGCAGCACGCGCAAGGAAAGAACGTGGTGGGCCGCAAAAGCAACCCACAGAACAGCACCGTGATGTTGAGGGACAGCAACCACAGAACAGGCCACTGCGATCCCTCAGGACATGCGCGGGGACAACCAAGCGGCGATCTCAGGAAAAGAACACCAACGCCTCAATCGAGCCAGGTCTGAGGCTGGCATTGGTGTGTGTGTGTGTGTGTGTGTGTGTGTGTGTGTGTGTGTGTGTGTGTGTGTGTGTGTGTGTGTGTGTGCCGTGAGCACTGCCTCAAACCGAGCGTTGATTGTTGATTCTGCCCTTATCCAGTCATCGCAAAAAATGCCTGCGCGCACGTATGAGCACTCAAACCTCACACAAAAACCTGCATGCAAACACAACCCCCACAACACACTTGTTACTGTGCTTGCTTGTCAGGCAAAGTGTCCGCAGCACTTCGTGCCATTGCCCGCTCAATGCGAACAAGCGGCGGTGGCAGCAGACGGGAGAGCGAAGAGTCCACAGGCACTGAAACATCCACAGCACCGACATTAACAGAGCCGTCGCCTTGCTCCCACAAGCGCTCTCAGCCAAAAAACACAGATAGCAGTGGCACCACCACCACCACCACCACCACCAACAGCAGCACTCGCAAACCACTTCATGTGAGTGATCGAAAGAGGTTTGCTGACCCAGGTGCAGTGGACTTGAAGGCATCAGACCAGCACCACCGCACCACCCCTGCACGTGACACCACCACCTCCACCAGCAACAGCAACAGCAGCAACAACCACGAACACCGCAAGCACCCGTCACTGCAGCTGTGCGGACAGGCCCAGCATCAGCGCCGCTCAAAACCAAAACGCGTTGCTTTCAACCGCACTGCATCTGCAATGACGGGAGCAGAGGCCGCTGACTTGGTGGCCATGTTCGATGCTTCGCTCAAGACACCCTCTCCGCAGCCGCAGCCACCCCGACACAAAGGGGAGGACCAGCAGCGAAACGAACACAGTCCTTCCATGCAGCAGCAGCAGCAGCATCGACAGCAGCAGCAGCAGCAGCAGCATCGACAGCAGCAGCAACAGAAGGAGCGCTGTGTAGAGGAGCAAGTGTATCGCACTGGTGCGCATGCGCATCAGCAGAGGCGACAGCGACCGATGGCGTTCTCCCGTCACTCGCGCGTGCACTCGCGAGAGACTGGCAAAGGTGCGCGCACCGCTCCAAGCGGAGCAGCAGAAGCCAAACAAACAGGCAGCAAACATGTGCCCAATACGGCACGACACAGCCACAACCACAGCCACAACCACAGCGATTGCCACATGGCCCAGCGCACATCAAGTCACTGCCATCGCACTCACGATCTCACGGCCAAGCGAAACCAGCAGCACCGCCACAGGCGCAGTCACCATCACACTGCTGCTTCGGGTCACACAACAGCAGCCAAGCTGCAACAGCAACAAGAACGGCGGCGGCCTGAGATTGGACTGCTGCGACGTTTGGGCATGCTGGACTCACCCGAGGTGTCATTGCTTGACGGTGAGGCGGTGACGACGACAACGACGACAACGAGAACAGCAGCAGCAACAACAGCAGCAGCAGCAGCAGCAGCAGCAACTGTGCCAGTGGCTGCCACGATGAGCAAGAAGGTTAATGAGGGGCATGGCAAATTAAGCGAACGAACGGATGCGCGCACATGCGCGGGCAGCGAAGAACAGCACGACTGTAGTGTTGACCGCAAAAGGGGCGATGGCAGCAACGGCATGACAGAAGCCCGTGCTCACGTGGAAGACACAGTGACGGAGACGACGGAGACGGGCAGCATGGAAGAAACTGCTGATGCACACGCACATTCTTCAATTGCGCAAGGCGATGCAGACCTGGAAGCTCCAACCTCTGAAATGAGTGCACTTGTGCTTAGCAGCACCGAGACGGAAGAGCAAATGGAGGAAGTGGTGGAGGAAAGTGAAGACGTGACTGTCGAGGAAGAAACGGAAGTTGAGAAGGAGACGGACAGGGATGGGGACAAGGAGGAGGAATGGGAACTTCTCAGTCAAGAAGAAGAGGAGGAAGAGACAGACACGGCGGAGGACAGCGGTGAAGGGATTGCTGATGCACAAGAAGACAGCGTGGAGATGCAAGCAAGCGTTGACGTATCCATGACAGAGAGCGATGTACCGCTTGACGCTTCTGCAGAACTTTTCGCTGACAGCAATGATGAAGAGTGCATTGCCACCAACAGCGACGCCAGTGTCATTAGCACCTACAGCAGCAACAGCAGCGCCAGCCACGATTGTACTGAGGCGGCGTCCGAGAAGAAACACAGCGAGCAGGAGAATGACGAAGACTGCAAGATGGAGGCCAGTGATGTTGAGGACGCAAGCGAGCAGCAAAACCATGAACAAGATCGCACAAGCGTCGCGGTATCCGATATTCTTGAGTTGTGCCACCAGCCGACCCCATGCACATTCGTGGATGCATTCGGTGGTGACGATGCCTTGGCCGCGTGCATCAAGGTGGGCGAAGGCTCCTATGGAGAGGTGTTCGCGCTCACGCCCGCAACATTGGCGGCAGCGAGCGAGAAGTGCCAGCACGAGTGGCACGATGCTGCATCTCATGGTGTCGCATTCAAGCTGATGCCCGTGGATGGGGAGACCGAGATCAACGGAGGGCTGCCGAAGCGCACACATGAGATGGTGTCTGAGATTGCATGCACGCTCCTCCTGTCAGCTGTGAGCGAAGGGCTGACGACACGGGAGAATCCAGAGGAAGTTGCCTTGCAGATCCCGACGTTTATTCGCACGCACAAGCTGAGTCTATGCCAAGGACAAATGCCAGCACCGCTCCTTGACCAGTGGGATTGCTTCCTTGCCAATGACAGTACGTTTGTGTCTTGGGGCGTGGGGAACATAGTGTGTATGTGTGTGTGTGCATTTGTGTGCATGTGTGTGCATTTGTGTGCATGTGTGTGCATTTGTGTGCATGTGTACGTGTATGTGCGTTTGTGTGTATGGGTGTATGTGCGTATGTGCGTGCATGAGTTGTGGTTGCAGCGGACATATGCTGATATGCCAACGTCGTGCACTTGTCCATGCAATCACTCATCGTTCCCGCAGAAAACGGCGAATGTGAGAACGAGCGTCCCGATGTGTTCCCCGCGGAGCAGTTACATCTCTGCTTTGCTTTTGAAAATGGCGGCAAGAGCCTGGAACACTTCAAGTTCACGTCTCTGCACCAAGCACAGGTGTGACGCTCCGCGAACTCGCGTGGAGCTACACTTACGCTATGGCAATGCACGCGTAATTTGTGTGTGTACGTGTGTGTGCGTATGGGTATGTGTGTGTGCATGAGAGAGAGAGAGTGTGTGTGTGTGTGTGTGTCAGCAAGTTGTTGAGCTGCTTCCAAATCTCACATGGATTTGACATTGTGCCTAATGAATTTGCCTCCAAACCACAGTTTGTCCTGCTGCAAGTCCTGGTCAGCGTGGGCCTGACGGAGCGTGCGCTTCAGTTTGAGCACCGGTGTGTGTGTGTGTGTGTGTGTGTGTGTGTGTGTGTGTGTGTGTGTGTGTGTGTGTGTGTGTGTGTGTGTGTGTGTGTGTGTGTGTGTGTCGTGTCGTGTCGTGTCGTGTCGTGTCGTGTCGTGTCGTGTGTGTGTGTGTGTGTGTGTGTGTGTGTGTGTGTGTGTGTGTGTGTGTGTGTGTGTGTGTGTGTGTGTGTGTGTGTGTGTGTGTGTGTGTGAACACGGCGGTGCATGGCTGTTTTTCGAGCGTTGGTTGTGTCAGAAGATGTAAAGTCACAGCGATGGATCTTTAATATGCACGTGCATTCCTCACTCTGTATGTGTGTGTGTGCCTGATGAAGGGGAGCTTGGGCCGAGGTGGCACAGGGCCGGCATGGGAGAGAACAAGGCCAACTCCATTCGTGACTTTCTCGTGCGTACTTTTGGTGGCGCTCACATCCCCTCCTGCACCTCCCATGCGCGAACTCGTGTGGGGGGAGCTACACTTACGCTATGGCAATGCACGCGTAATTTGTGTGTGTACGTGTGTGTGCGTATGGGTATGTGTGTGTGCATGAGAGAGAGAGAGTGTGTGTGTGTGTGTGTGTCAGCAAGTTGTTGAGCTGCTTCCAAATCTCACATGGATTTGACATTGTGCCTAATGAATTTTGCCTCCAAACCACAGTTTGTCCTGCTGCAAGTCCTGGTCAGCGTGGGCCTGACGGAGCGTGCGCTTCAGTTTGAGCACCGGTGTGTGTGTGTGTGTGTGTGTGTGTGTGTGTGTGTGTGTGTGTGTGTGTGTGTGTGTGTGTGTGTGTGTGTGTGTGTGTGTGTGTGTGTCGTGTCGTGTCGTGTCGTGTCGTGTCGTGTCGTGTCGTGTCGTGTCGTGTCGTGTGTGTATGTGTGTGTGTCGTTTTGTATGCACTTGCAGTGGCAGTGGGGTATTGGGCGACAGCACTGTCGTGCAATCTTTCACCATCGCGTGCTCACATGCACCTCTATTCACCACAATACGCATGACCATTGCCAGAGACTTGCATGTTGGCAATGTGCTTGTTCGGCAAACGAAGACAAAGCACGTGTGCATGATGTATGCGTCGCAAGAAGTGCTTGTGCCGACTGGCGGGTTTGAGGCGAGAATCATCGACTTTACGCTCTCTCGTATTGACCGATCGCGGCTGGATCTTCACAGGCGCCAGCTCCTTCCACCGCCATCGTTCGATGCCGATGTACACCACCGCCACCATGCTGACTCACATGGCAGCAACACCACAGCCAGCGCAAGCAACGACACACGCGACAATGACGACAACAACCACAGCAGCAGGGAGGGTATTGCCTTCTTTGACCTTGCTGATGATCCTGACATCTTCTGTGGCGAAGGCGACATCCAATTCGATGTGTACCGTGACATGCGCGAGCTTGTCACCACCGGCTGGCACGAGGTGCGTGTGCATGTGTGTATGTGTGTGTGTACGTGTGTGTGCATGTGTGTATATATGTGTGTGTACGTGTGTGTGTGTGTGTATTCCTGTGTATGTGTGTGTGTGTGTGTACGTGTGTGTTTTGGGTTAGGTTGGGTTGTGTTTTGAAGTGAATGAGCAGTCGTGCACATGGCAATGTGCACCTCTGTATTCTTGCTTGTTTGTACCGAATGACGGCCCGCACATCGCAACGCTCATGCTTTTTTTTTGTCTTGTTCTGCACCGCCACAGTTTCTGCCACGGACCAATGTCTTGTGGATCGAGTATCTCACGAAACATATCCTCAACAAGAAGTACACATCCACGGTGAGCAACAATGTGTGTGTATGTATGTAGACGCGTGCATGTTGATGTGAACCACCGTCGCCTCTGTCAAATTGACACGATGGCTGTGCACGTATGGGTGTTCAACTGCAGGCCAAACGTGAGGCAAAAGTGCGCAAGAGTTTGGACGGTTTCTTGTCGCGGATCTGCGGATATGCGTCTTGCTTCGAAGCCATCTGCAACGACGCGTTCGTGAAACAGCACGTGGACCTGTCCTCCATATTTCAGAAAGAACAGTGACATTGTGTAAGTAGATGTGCGTTCATCGCTGTACTTGACCCAAGATCACGTTTGCTCATGTTCTTCTCAAACAACAGAGAGAGTGTGTGTGTGTGAGCGTGTGTGTGTGTGTGTGTGTGTGTGTGTGTGTGTGTGTGTGTGTGTGTGTGTGTGTGTGAGTGAGAGTGAGAGAGAGTGTGTGTGAGTGAGAGTGAGAGTGTGTGCGCGCGCTGCGAGTGATTTTGTGTGCGTACGGCTGCGTACGAGTGTTGTTGCAAGTGTATGATTGTGTGCGTGCCGGTTTGGCGCTTGTTCATGTCGTTGCACGCCACCGGCGACAGCTCTACATTAGACCATTCAACAATTGAATTCAGCCACGAGACAGTCTGCTCATGACATCCACTCCAAGCACGTATCATGTTGTTGTGTATTACTTTGCTCGATGGGCTTGCGTGACAAACTGTGCACACGCACAAGCAGAACGAAGACGAGTGACAATAAATAGCCAGATCGAGTACGTGCGCGAGCTGCACGTGTGTCTGTGTCAATGAGCGGAGAGAGAAAGCACTGCAGGAATTAATGTAAAAGTAGTGAGACACGGGAAACCATGCTGTGGTGCTTCCCATGTGGAATGCACTCGCATGCACAAAGCAACTGAGACTGTGCGAGGGAAACAAAACCGATACCACACATACACACATACACATACACAACCGCGTACAGAGAGCCACATACAGAAACAAAAGGAGCCACGCACACGCACACACGCACACGCGCGCACACGCACGCACACGCATGCGCAAACGTACAGGGAGACATACACAGAAACACGGAATCCTCACACACACACACATATTAACAAGCAAAAAGGATGGTTAGAAGAGGAAGGAGGAGTCAGTTACACGTATGTGACGGCATGAATGCTGCGCCAGTGCCGGCACACGTTTGCCCAGTCGTCTTTGATCATGGCGCGGATGTCCTCGTGGGCGGGCCGTTTGCTTGCGTCGAGCACGAGCAGCGTCGCGAAGAAGCGGATGAGGGTGGCGTCGAATGTGGCCCAGGGGCGATGCACGTGTGTGCATTCAATGATTGCGTCACGGAACCGGTCGTTGTCGGGGTGCGCAAAGGTCCACGGCTTCTCGTGTGTCAGCACAAAGAAGCACAACACCCCAAATGCCCACAGATCAATGGCAGGCGTAATCTAACAGCATGCAAGGATGTGAAAGGCGGGTGGGTGGTGGGTGAGTGGAGAAGGTTGTGAGATGTGGTGATGCGTGGAGCAAGAATGGGCGGCATGTTGACGGCAGTACGCACCCTGTAGCGTACAAAAGTGTAGTTCTCACCGTGTACGGCTGTCTGAGGTCTGGGTGCGTGTAAAACACCTCCACGAGCTCGGGACTCAGGTACTCTGGCGTTCCATTCACAATCGTTTGCACATGCCCAACACGCCGGCACGTCCCTGTGTGTGTGTGTGTGTGTGTGTGTGTGTGTGTGTGTGTGTGTGTGTGTGTGTGTGTGCATGTGTGTGTGTGTGTATCTATGAGAGAAATGACAGCTTTCACCGCAAGCGCTGCAATGATTGTGTTGAGCCTGCATGCATTCCACTCCACAAATGCAATGAATGCGCCATGTCAGTCCTTCAAGACAAGCAAACGCGAGGACGCACCGAGGTCGCAGATCTTGGCCTTGTGGGTCGGGGTGAGGACAATGTTCTCGCACTTGATGTCGCAGTGCACGAGCTGCTTGTTCCGATGCAGAAACTCCAGCCCAGACAACACCTGCGCATGGTGGAATCAATGGCGATTGGGGGGGGCGAGTTGGGTGCGTGAGCACAGAGAGATAGAACAAGGCGGAGGGGGTTTCTGCTGAGAAGCAAAACCAGGCTTGGTAAACATGCACCTGCACACACACACACATACACACAATCCACATGCAAAGGTACATGCACAAACACATGTACACACACTCTCTCACGAGCACTCGCGTGCGCAAGTGCTCAACATCCACAACTCGCAAACCCCACCCCACCCCCTCTTCCAGTTACTCAAGCATCACGATGACCTGGAGGAGGACTTGGCTGGTGTGACCCGCGTAGCCGCAGTCGAAAGCACCAGAGTGAACGGCGTCGTACAGATCGCCGGCCTCACCGGCCTCAAGCAGCAGGCAGATGCTGTGTCGCGTCTCGAACATCTCAAACGCACGCACAATGTGCGGGTGGTTTAGCTGAAAGCCTGCACACGCGACGTTGTGTCAAGTGGTGATGGTAATGGTGGTTGTCGTGATGATGATGATGATGATAATGATGGTGGTGGTGGTGGTGGTTGTCGTGATGATTGATGGTGGTGGTGGTGGTGGTGGTGGTGGTGAATTCGAAAAGGACGAGCGAGGCGCAAGCAGAAGGAAATGGAGTGTGGGGACACACGTGTTGGCACGTGCAATGCGGTGTGTGTCCAAAGGCACTCGCACACGTAGATGAGTGCATGTTCCCTGTGGAAACACATACACTGCAGGCACTGCGCAACTCTGTGTGCGTGCTTCTTACCGATCAATGCCTCCTCCCTCACGGCGTCCAGAAACGCCTCATCCGCGGTCTTTGGCATAATCTTGAGCGCAAACACCATCGATCCGTCCACACCACCAGCACCGCCACCACCAGCAACAACGCTGCTGTTGTTGATGCATGGCCCGACAGAGGGTGACGACGCTGTTGACATGGACGTGTCGGAGTAGCTCGGGCTGTCTGTGCGGTGAGCGCCGTCACGCGTGCGCACGAGGAAGACATCACCGAATGTGCCGGCGCCAAGCAGCCGCTGCCGCTGTAGACCCCGCTGCCGCAACGCCTCGTCCGTCGTCATCTTAGTTGAAGGAGAGGGTGGATGATGCAATGGTGCATGGTGCATGGTGGATTGAGCGCACATGTGCATGTGTGCATGTGTGCATGTGTTTGTGTCTGCGTGTGTGTCTACGTGTATGTGTGTGTGTGTGTATGTGTATGTGTGTATGTGTATGTGTGTATGTGTGTCTGTGTGTATGTGTATGTGTGTCTGTTTGTATGTGTGTGTGTGTGTGCGTGTGTGTAGTGATGCAGGCGATTGCACCTCAAACGCTTGAGCAGGAAAGTTCACACCCATCCGCTCACATGCACTAACACAATAACAAACGCACGTCATCATACACGCAATCATACACGACGTGCACGAAATCAGCCTACCTTCTTCGTGGTGGCTGGTGAGGGCCGCGGGAGCACGAGCGGGTGTGCGGCGACGGCCGTTCTCCTGCCACCAATCTTAAGGGGTCCCTTCTCGCCCTTCTTCTTGCTCTTGTCGCCCTTGCTCTTCTTGCTTCGCTTCTTCTTCCTCCTCCTGCCTGACTCTGCCACAGTTGCCGCGCTGTCTTCGCTAATCCTAACTGACGTGTCCTCCTCATCAGCGACGCACGGTGTCTCAGCTTCCTGCCCACGGCTTCTCTCATCACGCGCACATCCACTCTGTTTGCACGAACACCTGCGATGCACATCTGGTACCGCCTGCTCACGTACAAGCGGCCCATTGCTCTGTGGCCTTTGTTGTTCACCAACGCCTTGTCCCTCATCAACATCAGCGTCCTGGTCTGGCGCGCCGTCGCACATATACGGGTTTCTAGTCGCGGCGCCATCACCTGACCTTCCATCCGTGACATTCACCGCCACCACCACCTGTGCTCGATTTGCTGTCTCCTCCCTGCTGCTGGTGTGCCGTTGCTGGTGCTCAGGCCGGTGGTCAGGGGTGTGTCTTGCATGTGTCTGCCTGTGGATGTCTTGGTCTTCTGTTGGCGTTTTCTCCGGCGATGCAACCGCTCCCCTGCATGACGCGTGCATGTGCGTGGATGAGGCGATGACAGTGAAGACGCGGCGAACCAGAGTGGTGGGTGGTGTTCAAGGGTGTGTACATGCATGTACAGTCCACACAAGAGATCATCGTGCTCACGTCACAGAAACGGCACGTTCGCTTGCACGCTTGTGCGCAGTCACGTGCGCGTGCTCGACAAGTACGTACCTTCTGCGTGGCGGGCGAAGCACGGTGAGACCATGCATGCCGTGTTGTGTTATCGAGGTGATCACTGTTTTCGGCGCTGTCACGGCAACTGCATGGCATACTTCTTCCTCCTTGTGCACTTGTCTTTCCTTGCGCCCGAGTTGCTCTTGTTGTTGCTCCTGTAGCCAGTGTTGCTGCTGCTGCTGCTGTTGTTGTTGTTGTTGTTGTTGTTGTTGTTGTTGTTGTTGTTGTTGTTGTTGTTGTTGTTGTTGTTGTTGTTGTTGTTGTTGTTGTTGTTGTTGTTGTTGTTGTTGTTGTTGTTGTTGTTGTTGTTGTTGTTGTTGTTGTGTGTTGCGGCGCGTGCGTGACGACGCTGTCAGTCGCCGCGGCTTGCGTGCGAGCGACAGCCTGTGGATTGCCTTGACCGCGTCACGCTCCTCGTCGGGGAAGCGTGCCACTCGGTTGAGGGGTCTGTGGTATCGAGGTTGGTTTCCATGTGACGGTACAAGCTCGCTTTCGATGCTTCTGTCGCTGGGGCTGTCGTCTCCTGTTGGGGTTCTCACTACTCCCGGCTCCTGCTCCTCGTTCTCATCCTCCTCCTCCTGTGTCTCCCCGCCTGCTGCCACGCTGCTGTGCATGGTGCTGTCGGCGACGTGGTGGCAGGGAGGGCGACGACCAGCATTGTCTTGGTCGTTAATCTCGTGATGAGGAAAACATGCTGCTGCACGGGTCTGTCGCGTCGAGTACGTTGCCGTTGCCTCCATCCGCGGAGTGTGCTCGAAGTGGAAGCAGGCCTGAGTCAGCCGAGTGCGGCAGAGAACAGAACGCGCGTTGTGAGTGCAAGATTACGCATGATGAAGACGGGAGAAGGGCACTAGCAGCTCGACGTATTCTGGAGACGAGCACGTTTTGCTTGTGTGTGCACGCACACATAGACACACACACACACAAACACACACACACACAAACATACACAAACACAAACACACAAACACACACAAACACACACACACACACAAACAAACAGGCACACACACCCGCACGACCAAACCTATCGCGTATTGTGCTTGCTGACCAAGCCAAACACGCACACGGCACACAGCACACAGCACATGCTTCTAACATCCTAAAGCATGCATGCGAAGACATGTCGTCGTACCGCCGTGTTTACGTCCAAGTTGCTGATGCCTTGATCGTTGCTTGGCCGCGACCGCGCGTACGGTGCCCCAGCTGCCTTGTGCATATGTCAACGTTTGGCAAGGGTGTGTGATGACGCAGTTGTCGCAAGCAATAAGCAATGGCAAGGTTCAGTCGCCCATCAGTAAAAACGGTTGTGATGTTGTGGCGTGGAGCGACAACAAGGTCGCTGCCGCTGTTGATGTTTGGAGGTCTGAGTTCCTCAACCCCTCCTCTCCCAGTCTCCCCAACTGTATGGTATCCTGCCCTGACGGATGAATGCCGTTGGGTGCCACACCATGCCTTAACAGGAGGAAGGAGGACCAAAACAAGGCAGGAAGCGAGACTTTTATGTACTTACTGACTTGTTCGGGAGGGGTACTCGCTCTTTGTGTCTGCTTCTGCTTGTGTGCTTGCTGCTTCAGGTTTCTTGAGACAACAACTTCAAAACGTCACACAGCTTGCTTGCCAAAGGGTGTCTTCTGTCTATGTGTCTGTGTTGTGTGTTGTGTTGTTTTGTTCTTGTATGCGAGTTGGTGCGTCTGTAGCTGTGCGTGAACCAAACAAACCTCAAAAACTGTGCTGTTGTGGCTGTGCGCGCGCGCGCAAGAAGGGGAAGAGAGTCAGGCCACCGAGGAAACCGCGACACGGCGACACACGGAAATGTGGGCATTAGTTAAAATCCCATCAAATTGATATATCATTTCACTGATGTTTGCTCTTTTCTTTTTGTGTGTGGCGCGGCCGAGTTCGGGGCAGCCTTGCCTTTGATGCAAGCGCGACAACCCTGACGCAAACTGCAACAGCAGGCAAGCGGAAGCAGCAGCGGAACGAAGCAATAACAGTGATGTGATGATTGACTGTGATGTGCGCCTCTCCACTCCACCAGCATCCATTTTCCTCGCAACGCCAACGCCAAGCAACCAAGCAAAGCAAGCCAATTGGATCAATCTCGCACACAGCAACCCAGCCACCCCAACCCCAGAGCACAACTAACCAGCCACCGCCTTTCTTCGAACCAAGACCAAGCAAGCAAGCAACCAGCGCCATGAAGGTCGTAGATGAGGAGCATCTCGAGAGCGTCGTCGGCCGCTCGTTCAAGCGGGCCATGGAGGGCGCCGCCTGGGGCGTGGGCATTGGTGGCCTCGCTGCCCTTGCCCTGAACAAGTTCTCGCCCTGGTATCGCCGCTTGACCCCGGCCCTCAAGGCCTACAGCCTGCTCGTGCCCGTCATTGGCGGCATGATGATCATTGGCGAAGGCGAGCTTGTCGCCATCGAGAGGGAGCACCACCGACAGCACCACAAGGAGCAGATGCAGAAGCGCATGGAGGAGTTCCGCCGCCTTGACGCCGAGACACATGCCGCCCGCCAACAAGCCGCCAACGCGTCCTCCTCATCCTAACCAACCACGAGTCTCCTCGCAGACGCCCACTGACACGATCCATGCGTCTCTGTGGCTTCCCTTCACGCTGCTTCCCTTCACGTTGCTTCTCGCTACCACTCCTCCTGTCATCATTTGTGCTGTCTTATTCCTTCCTTCCTTCCTTGTTCTGCCGCTTGTCAGAGAGGTTACGCTGGTGAATCGTTTTGGTGAAATGTTTGATGAACTTCGAGTTTTGCGTTTGTTGAACTCCTTCCGGTCTGCGTTTGCCGCTTCGAAGCGATGCCCCTCTCTGTGTTTCTGGTGTCACGTGTTTTCAGCCGGCTGCTGCTATCCATCCATCAGCTGCTGTTTGTTACCCACCCTTCTCCTTGGTCGTGTTGCGTGTCCACGCTGTTGTTTGTAAGCGACTCTTGACCCTCCGCTACCCTATGTACACTACACAGGCACACCTGCCATGGATCGCCCTTCGGCGTGCTGGCGCCTGTGCTCACGCGACATGCCATCGTTTGTCACATCGCGTGTCACATCGCGTCCCATTACATTAATGTAAATCGTTCAGCTCAGTACATTCAAGGAGTGGTTTACTGATGACGCGTCCCCACGTGCACATGGCCAGCGCAAGAACGAAGCACAACACTGATGATGAGAGAACGCAACACACAACAACCTCAAATAAAACGCAAACACAAGCAAGCAACACCACGCACGCAAACACAAGCAAGCAACACCACGCACGTACACGCCAAGTCACATCACATCACGCACGCAACACAGACACGCACAAAGTGTCACACCTCAAAGCCCACAATTTCCTCGGCAAAGACGTCTGCGTCAATGCGTGGCGGCAAGGCCTCGTCAAAGCGCGAGTCCCCCAGGAGCGACGCCAGGCACCGCGCCAGCTCATCCTCCGTCATGCGGTCGCCAACCTCCTGCAGCAGCTCGTAGAACGCGGCCGAGTCGAGCGAGCCGTCGCCCTCAGCCACCAGCGCTGCAAACGCCTCGTGCAGGTCCGAGGGGGCGAGGCCAAGTGCAGGGCGATGGTTCACAAGGAGCGTCACCAGGTCGTCAAGGTCCACAGTCGTCTTGTACTCCCGCGTCGTGAAGTAGTCCTTGAACTTGATCTCGTTGTTCATCTCCTGCACAACACACACACACACACACGCACGCACATACACACACACGCACATACACACAAACACATCCGAGCACAGAATGAGTACAGTCCATGATGGGGAACCAAAAGCTGGAAAGCAACAGCAGAGCCCATGGCACGAACATGCAACCTCCAATTTGGTCACGCGCGCACGTGTGCAGGACAACACAGTGAGCAAAACCGCAAAGCAATAGATACTGCTGCTGCTGCTACTGTTGGTGTTGTTGCTGTGGTTGTAGCACTCACCGCAATCTGGTGCTCCGTTGGGAAGAATCCTACAGCGCGCAGCACATCTGGGACGTCTTCCAGCGGCAGCGTATCCGACGCCTGGAGCCGTGTGCACGATGGTGTTGACGTTGTGGCGATGGGAGGGGGGGGGATGGTGTGGGATGGGAGGGGGGATGGTGTGGGTTGGAGTTAATCAGCCAATTGGAGGCGGGGGGGGATGAAGAGAACAACACGAAGGGATGTCGACAGACGTGCAGTGGCATGGACGAATAAACAAACGAAAAACAGATAGACAGACAGGCAGGCAGACACACGCCGAGACCCACAGACAGACACACAGAGACATGCACACAGACACATGCACACAGCAGCGCACCTGGAGAGGGGCCATGGAGGTGATGCCGTGTCTGCGGATCTGGGCGTAGTAGAAGTACTCCTTCATGTCGTTGATGAGATCGCCATCACGTCCGCCCTCCACCAGCTCGTACAGCGCATCCATCCCCTGCGGGCGCGTCTGCACCGTCGCCGCCAGCACAGCAGGGTTCAGCTGGTTTCGACAACAGAGAAGGGGGGGGGGGAGGAAGATGGTGTGAGTTGCGAGCGTGAGAATACGTGCATGTGTGTGTGTGTGTGTGTGTGTGTGTGTGTGTGTGTGTGTGTGTGTGTGTGTGTGTGTGTGTGTGTGTGTGTGTGTGTGTGTGTGTGTGTGTGTTCGAGGATGCGCGCAGGCTAAACCGTTGTCGCAGCATGAGACACACAAACACACCTGCCACATATGCACGGATCCTGCATTGGCGCCGGCTGTGAAAAGGAATTTGCCGTCATGCGACACACGCAAGCACGTGATCTGAACAAAGCAGGAAGGGAACGACGCTGTATGGTTTAGTGGCAACATGATGCATGGGCAAAGAAAGCATCGCCGCGATGAACGACATGCATGCATGCATACATCCAGACACGCCTCAAGATGATCGCACACGGCACTAGCTGGTGCTTGCAACCTCGTCTGGGTGGGCGAGGATGGCGATGTAGCGGTGCGGGTTGCCGTCCACAGGCGCCAGACACAGACCAACCTGCAACACGTGTGTACAGAAAGAAGAAAGAAGGTGAGGGCGGCACGCATAATTCACGCATGTGCAACATTTGCGTTCACACACACACATGTATGTGCGCACCGAAAGCACCCCAGCTCTAAATGTTCAAGAACCCAACAAACAAACTAACAAACTCACAAACACACGCACACACACACACACACAGGCACACACACACACACACACACACACACACATACTGACTTTGTCTGAGTTTGCAAACGCAATAATCTGGTGGTTGAGGTGGTCGGGGTGCTTGGGCACTTGCACGAGGTGACGCACGGGATCGCCGTAAATGGGACCAAGCAGCGTCGCACGACACATGTTCGTGCTCTTGTTGTACAGCTTCAGCTTGTAGTCTGCATTCGCCTGAGTGGACAAACACACACACACACACACACACACACACACACACACACACACACACACACACACACACACACACACACACACAAAGTGAGATGTTCAGTCGGGCACAGCCGCGTCATCACGGAAGCGTAACAAAACAGCAAGGCGCTGTGTTGGTCACGCTGCTGATGTTCTGGACAACACATGCTTGCAAGCATACCGTGATCCTAAACTCCTCATCGTGCTTGCTCGTGTAATCCGTCATCGCCAGCGGATACGTCCCTGCCCAACGCACGCACACATATACACGCATGAAAAACCATGAACAGAGCTGCGAGGCGAGGATACCGTGTCAACCACCAACCGACACACACACACACACACACACACACTCACACACACACACACACACACCCAAGTGGTTGTACCTTGAGCGAGGCGCAGCCTGGGCTCGTGGATCTGCAGTTGAGTGTCGAATGTGCTGTCGAGATCATACGACACCATCATTCCATCCTGCAACGTGTGGGGAAGTCAATTGTCAGCAAAGGAATTGCATTCGCGGGTGAGTTGGGGGTTGGATGGCTGCAGATCCCAACACGGGCGACATCAAGGGCTCCCAACACATAAAGCAACACGACCAAGAGCCTAGCCATCAGCAGCAACTTCAATGCAAACGGCAACAATCTGACAAGAGGACAGCAATGCACCTGAGAGACTCCTGCAACCTGCACAAAACCTCGCCTACCTTGCCGATGGAGAACAGACAGCACCTGTGTTTCGAGTCCTCAGATTCCTCAAAGAAGACCTGCGTCACGCCCCCCACATGCGCTTTGCTCCGCCCAACAAGTTCCCACGGGCTCTCAAAGTCCGCAGGCTCAATCTACGCACACACGCACACAGGGTATGTCGAAATTGTCACGATTGCTTGGCTTCAACTTTGCCAGCACAAGCACACACACACACACATAAGCACACACACACACACACATAAGCACACACACACACACATAAGCACACACACACACATAAGCACACACACACACACACACACACACACACACACACACACACACACAGCGCGCACCTTGAAGAGGCCGACTGCGGAATCGGCGAAAGCGGCGGCTGCAAACTCGTTTGTGTGTGCAAATGCGACCTGGAGAACAGCGGCGTTTGCTGCGGGGATGGTGGTGCTGTCCGTAATCAGGTCCAGCGTCATCGCATCGCGAAAGTCAACCACCCCGTTCTCGTACCCGATGGCCAGCGTGTGCCCGTCTCGACTGAATGCCAGCGCCTGACGCGACGTGATGTGGTGTGACGTCATGTCATGTGATATCGTGTGATGTGATGCGTGAGGGCACAGGTACAGAGCAACACCTCATTTGACCAGGTGACCACCACCACGCCAACTATTCAGCACTCCATGTAAATCATCATCAACAACCATCAAGGTTGTCAACAGCGGCAGCAGCGAGCAAGACGTACGGTTGGCGTGACGCTGGCGATGGTGCGGGTAAGGATGTGTTCGCCCTTCTCGTAGTTCCAGATTTGCAGAGCGCCGTTGCTGCTGGCCGAGACCATCATCGCGCTGGACGGGTGCACGGCAATGTCCGTGATGCCGGCGGTGTGGGAATTCAACACAACCTGACACGCGGTAGCGGTGATGGTGATGCGAATAGCGAGTTGGAGATGGAGATGGAGGGGGGAGGGAGGAAAATGAGTCCATGAAGTTCGGGCAGTGATTGTCGTGGTTCTGTCAAGACAAACCACAACGCATCCCATGCACCCCACGCACCATCATCACCACCACCGTGACCACCACCGCAACTGTCACCATCACCAGTGCCGACGTACCGTGGGCATGAACTCGGCGCCCGTGATGATGTTGACAATGAGGCCCTCGGATGTGCTCACAACGAAGTTTGGCAGCTGCCGTGACAAACATGGAAAAACACAACTGTCAGCAGAGGCGATGACGCTAGCATACACGCGATCGCAATTTGTGTGTGCAGCGCACAAGAATCGCAACTTCAAATCTCAAAGGAACGCACACAAGGACACGCACAAGGATACGCACAACGACACACGCCAGGGCATGCACGAGGATACACAAGGACACACAAGGACACACACACACACACATATACACAGACACAGACACACAAACACAAGGACACGCAAGGCGCGCAACTGACCGCCTGGGAGAATGTCTCTGGCGTGGGCTGGGAGTGGTCGTCGTGTGCGAAGAGGTGGGCAAGATCATCATCAGCAGCAGCGGTTGCAAATGCAATGGCGGTGATGGCGCCAGACTCCAGATCCTCGTTCCACCCGAGCGCGCGGCACTGGTGGTCGAAGCAGCGCACACACCCGTCCCCGCACCCAAGCACCTGCAGCAGGCCATGGTGCGTGCGTGCGTGCGTGCGTGCGTGTGTGTGTGTGTGTGTGTGTGTGTGTGTGTGTGTGTGTGTGTGTGTGTGTGTGTGTGTGTGTGTGTGTGTGTGTGTGTGTGTGGTGTTGTGGTGGGTTGGGTAGTGGTGTATTGTTGGGGGTAAGGGCGAGCGTGAAGGCGCAGGGCTGTCACAGCGAGTTTCACGCAAACTCATGCATATCACACACACACACACACATACACACATACAAACACACGCACACACAATGAGCCGCCTGACCAGGAAGCGGCTGTCTGGGGTGAGGCAGAGCGTGTTGACGGCAGCAGGGGAGGCCTGTATCCTCTTGAGTTGGCTGTACGGCTGGTCGGCAGCAGTGCGGCTCCACATAATCACTTCTCCGGCGACGTTGCCCGACACTGCCGTCAGCTCGTCCTGTGGAGTGGAGGCAAAACGAGTGGTAGCGTGATGGGGTGTTGTCGTGACATGAGCAGACGACACGTGCAGTCACAGCACAAACGCAACATAGCGTAGGACAAGCACAACACAACACAGCAGAGTGCAGGGCACTGCAACGCAGGGCAGTCACAACGCAGCACAACCCAATGTATGCACACGCCCGGCTTACGGGAAGGAAGGCCGATGCGGTGAGCCGCGCTTTGGATTCGTTTGCAATTGTCTGCACCTCCAGCTCGTCTGATGCCCACGACAGGAACAACGCCTTGATGGAGGAGGTGGTGGTGGTGTTTCGTGTGGAGGTGGAGGGACAAGCACATCGTCAGTTGGGGACCGGCAAATCTCATCTTCCAGTCTTGTTCACGCACCCATCCACACACACACACACACACAGATACAGACAGACAGACAGACAGACAGACAGACAAACAGACAGACACAGACACAGACACAGACACAGACACACACACACACACACACACACACAAGAGCGTGGCTGTGGCTGTCACCTCGTTTGTGGTGTTTGCGACGGCCCGGTTGGCTGCGGTTGGATGTGCGGTGACGGAGACGATGGGAGTGGACAGAGCATCCAGATCAGCACTGGCCACCGGCGCAGTTGCGTCGGGATTCGTCCACTCGAACACACGCGCTTGTTGGCTGGCGGTGGAAAGCAAATCGTGAGGGTGGGGTGAGCAGGTGGTGGTGTTGCGGCAGCGATTAACAGCTGTGTATGCAAGTGCGCAAATAACTTGTGTGTGTGCTTTTGCATTGTGTGTGCATTGTGTGGAAGAGACGTGTCACTACCTTCCGTCCTCTTTGGTGATGACGACGATGAGCAACAAGGCGTCGTGCGAAAAACACGCCGCCTGCACACCAAGTCCAATCTGTACACATGCACACATGCACGGACGCGCGGGTGAGTGTTGGTGTTCCGATTCCTCTTCGCAAACAAACTGCGCTGTGTTGTTGAGAAGTCAACAGCATTGGCACAATGGCAACCACCATGCTCACGCACGCACGCACGCACACACACACATACGAGCACGTATACATACACACAAACGAGCACACACACACATACGAGCACACGAGCACGTATACATACACACACATACGAGCACACGAGCACGTACACATACACACACGCACACGCACACGCACATACACACGCACGCACGAACGCACGAGCACACACACACACACACCTGGTCCTTGAAGTAGGTGCGAATGGGGAGATTGGTTGCCGTGTCCCAGACGATGAGCGTTGCGTCATCGCCGGCATCAGCTGTCGCAAGCCACTTGCCGTCCCCACTGCACAACAGCACCAGAACCACAACGAAACAAAGCGCTTGTCGCGTGAGCCACATTCCACACACACACACACACACACACACACACACACACACACACACACACACACACACACACACACACATGCGTTGGTGACCACCCGTCAACCCCGCACGACGACGAACAGCTTGCGCTCGCTCGTGTTCACACCAACAGTAGCAGCAGCGGCAGCACCTTGCGCACGACGTTGTGATTGCGAATCTGTGCCCGAGGAGAATAGATTGGTCGCCGGCAGATTTGTGCAGCACAACGGCTGCATGGCCCGAGCAGAACACAACATCCTGGCCACGTCGAGCGGGTGGGGAGTGTAGGGATGGTTGGTGATGGGTGATGGCGGGTGTGAGGCACGATATGAACGAAAACAGTTGATAGAAAAGGCGATTGAGGAGGAGAGCGCGCTCGACACATGACACTGTGCGAAAGCAATACCGATACAGAGGCAGGGAGGGAAGGGGAGATAGACATACACACACACACACACACACACACACACACACACACACACACACACACACACACACACACCCAGGCCAGCAAACCAAGCCAAAGCAAGCAAACAGCAGCACGTACGGAGCGGGTGCCATCTTCAATGAGATGCACGGTGGGGTTGGAGGTGTTGAAGCCAAAGGCCCAGTTGAGGTCCTATCAACCCGCCGTATTGCAGGAAGTGCAAGAAGAGAACAGCGTGTTAGCACACCAGGTGAGGACGGCAAGGTACCGCGTCGCGGTCGCAAGCGCACAGGACAGGAACCAGCAGCAACAGGAATGAGATGAATGTGGTTGTGCGACGCGTACAAGTGGATGCCGTGGGACTTTGTAGCGCTTGTGTCCTGCATGCAGGTCCTTGAGGCGGTCGTAGCTGCCCACGCTGGCAGATGCTTCCCGGCCATCTGTCAGTAAACAACACGCGCGATGGACGGCAGAACAAGACGTTGCATGAGGGCTGATCCAAGTATCGGTGTCAACGACACACACACATACACAATGTGTGCATATTTTGTGTTTGAGCACATATCTCCAATACAGACACCAACACATACGCACAGGCACAGACAAACAAAGAACCAAACACACAGGCACAGACAAAACAAAAACACACACAGACAAAACAAACACACACACACACACACACACACACACACACACACACACACACACACACACACACAGATAGCCAGACACACAAACACACACACACACACACACACAGATGCATAGACAGGGCACGCACCAAGAGACTGGATGGGGTCGGTGCCCATTTCCGATGTTTGATACTGTGATTCGCTATCCAGGAGTGACGCAGAGGTGATGGGCTGCGCGTCGATGGGGTCCGTGCTTGACGATGTTCGCCCGCCTGCCGCATCCTCTCCATCCTTGGCAGCGTCCTCTGTCTGTGCGCTTGCCAGATTGCTCACCCCCTCTTCTTCAGCGTCTTCGTCAGCGTCTTCTTGCTGCTGCTCCTCCTCTGGCTGCTGCTCTTGCTGCTCTTCTTCCTTTGCTTCTCCTTCCTCCTGGGATGCTGTGTGAGGGGGCTCAACGACTGCACTAGCGTCGCCTGCTGCCTCAACTGCTGTGTCTTCATCGGCCTGTACATCATCTTCAGAGCCAGTTGTGTTTGCTGCACTGCCGGGCGCTTGGTCTGACTCCTGCTTGTCTTCGTTGTTGGATGCTTCATCGCCTGCCTCTGCCTCCGTTGTTGTGTCATCGGTTGGCTTGGCCTCTTCCTGCTGCTCTTGGCCCTCCTGCTGCTGTGTTTGCTCTTGCTCTCCGCTCTCTTCTGTGGGGTCCTGCTCTGCCTCTACACCTTTTGTCGTCTCCTGCACTGTCTCCTCCATCACCGCATCGCCTGCCTCATCTGCCATGCTGCTCTTTGCTTGCTTGTCTTGTGTTGTTGCCTGTTGTTGTCTTGGCTGACTGGTTGGCAACCTCTTTGGCAACGGCAAAATTAACTTTGTCCAAGGTCAAAATTGCCTTTTCCCCACGTGTGCCCGCTGCCTCAACAGACACAACACGCACACGCACACACGCACCCATCCACCGACCAACCGCAGCCATGGGCGGAAACCTCAAGAACAAGGTCAAGTTCCAGGGCCGCATCTCCAAGAGCAAGAGCAGCACAAACCCGGGTGTGTCGATATGTTTGTGTGGGTGTAGATGTGTAGATGGTTGTGCATGTGTAGATTTGTTTGCGTGCGCGTGCGCTCCCTCTCTCTCTATATCTTTGTCTCTGTCTGTCTGTCTGTCTGTCTGTCTGTCTGTCTGTCTGTCTGTCTGTCTGTCTGTCTGTCTGTCTCTGTCTCTCTCTGTCTCTCTCTGTCTCTCTCTCTGTCTGTCTCTCTCTCTGTCTCTTTCTTTCTTTTTGGCACCGTCTGTCTGCGCGTGCTGCCTGTTTTTCCCTGTGCATGCCGCTCCCCCCCCCCATTCTCGTTGCTTTGGTTGCTTTGATGAGACTCATGCAAGCCGCTTGCGAATCATTTGTAGATCGTTCCAACAAGAGCCCTGGCCACAATGTGCGCACACGCACAACCGTCAACCGGTTGGCCATGTACAAGAGCGGCGGCAAGGCCATCCGAAACAGCAAGGGCAAGGTAACATGGCTTGGATATGCATTGCGTATTTGCTGTGTGCGTGTGTGATCGAGTTGCTTTGTGTGTGATTGCAAGGCATCTGCGAGGGATCCTAACCCCCAATGCCATGTAGGTGCGTTATTGAACGAACTCACGCCTCACTTAAACCAACACTCTGGCTGGCTGTCTGCAGATCATTCGTGCAGCACCTTTCCAGTCCTCCGTCTCGTCTGGCACCATGGCGCGGGTATGTGTGGGTGCTTGTGTGCGCGCGCGCGTGTGTGTGTGCGTGTGTGTGCGCGCGCGTGTGTGTGTGTGTGCGTAAACTGTGCACTTGTGAGAAGTTGAGTGTCCATGAGTGAAGTCTGCGTCCACACACGCACTGCTGATGTATTGTATGAATGATGCGCTCACTCACTCACTCGCCCACCACCCACTTCCCCGTGCACTGTCCCTGCACCCCACATGGTCCACTCGCCTCCATGCTTCTGCCTGTGGTTGAACAGATTGAGCCCAACCGAAGGTGGTTTGGCAACACCCGCGTCATCGGACAGCAGCAGCTGGAGGAGTTCCGCGAGGCCATGAACACGGCAAAGCGGGATCCGTACACGTTTGTCATGCACCAGAAGAAGCTACCCATGTCCCTGCTGCGCGACATGCCTGAGACAACCAACACCAGGATGCTCAGCACGGAGCCCTTTGAGGCCACGTTTGGGCCCAAGTCGCAGCGCAAACGCCCAAAGATCAGCGTCGAGAACATGGCCGACCTCGCACGCGTAAGTGATGCATTGAGTGTGCGTGTGCGTGCGTGTTTGTGTGTGTGTGCGTGTTTCTGTGCGTGCGTGTGCGTGCGTGTATGCATGCGTGCGTGTGTGTGTGTCTGTGTGTGTGTGTGTGCGTGCGTGTATGCATGCGTGCGTGTGTGTGTGTCTGTGTGTGTGTGTCTTTCTATCCAGTGTTGCTCATGGTGACTGCGCCTGCTCCTCTTTGCCTGACGTGATCAGGCATCTGAGGAGAAGCACGAGAGCTACGATGCTTCAAAGGACAGGGACCTTGTTCAGGAAGAGACAGGTGGGCTTTCTTGTGTGAGGAGGAGAGAGAGACTGTGTGTGTGTGTTGGAGGTGTATGCGAGAGAGAGAGTGTGTGTGTATGGGCGTGAGGATGTACATGTACTTCAACTAGTTTGCCCCTGCGCGACGTGTCAGCAGACGCTTGCTCCTCATACTCACCAGCACGTATGTATGTGTGTGCAGGCGAGCGCGAGTGCGCGCGCGATTGGATCTTTGGTGCTGGCCAATCGAAGCGCATCTGGTCGGAGCTGTACAAAGTCATTGACGCATCGGACGTCCTTGTTCAGGTACCAAAACAGCCATGGCATTCTTGTGCCCAGGCCGCCCCCCCCCACTGCTGTATCTGTGCGTGCACACAACAGACCCCTTTCTTCTCAGCACCACTGCCACTGCTGTGCCCGTGTACAGGTGCTTGATGCGCGCGACCCGATGGGCACCCGCTCCGAGCACGTGGAGAACTACCTCAGAAAGGAGAAGCCCCACAAGCACCTCGTCTTTGTGCTCAACAAATGCGATCTCGTCCCAACCTGGTCAACGGTGCGCTGCACTCCCTCCATGAGTGGCATTGGGTCTTGACGTGATCGCACGCGTGCATGGCCAAGCTTGTTCTTAAACGTATGCAAACAACCTGATGCACGACTCATTTCAATGTTACCGGGCGTCTCTGCGTGCTGCCCGATTCTCTGTCTCAGGTTCGCTGGGTGGCGTCCCTCTCCGCTGAATACCCAACGCTTGGTCAGTTGCCCTTGTTTTTTCGCGTGCATATGCATGTGCATGTATGATCTGTAGCATGTACGCAATGTACATGTCGTGCGCACGTGGGTGTGTGTGATGCTAGGTTTCACGTTGCAGCGTGTCTTGGCGTGATAAGTCCACTGGCATGTCCCGTCTTGCCTGGTCTTCGCTGGTTTCGGCTGGGATGCTCACAACAATCGCACGTGATGTTTATTGTTCCCCTCCCCTTGTCATGACCAACAGCCTTCCACGCCAGCATCAACAACTCCTTTGGCAAAGGATCCCTCATCCAACTCCTTCGCCAAATTGCATTTGTACGTCGCACAAGCGTGTGTGTGTGTGTGTTGTGTGTGTGTGTGTGTTCACGTGCCTGTCACTTCCGTTGCCCTTTGATCGCTCGGGAGCTTTCGCCCCCCCCCTGTCTCCTCTTCACCTCTCACCCGCCTCACACACACACACACACACACACACACACACACACACACATGCAGCTGCACAAGGACAAGCAGCAGATCAGCGTGGGCTTTATTGGGTATCCAAATGTTGGCAAGAGCTCCATCATCAACACCATCATGGGGCAGAAGTCGTGCAAGACCGCGCCCATCCCTGGCGAGACGAAAGTGTGGCAATACGTGCGCCTGACGGGCCGCATCTACCTCATTGACTGCCCCGGTGTGGTGCCGCCCAGCGAGGATTCTGAGGCCAACATCATCCTGAAGGGTGTGGTGCGTCTGGAGCACGTGCAAGCGCCAGAGGACTACATCCCCGCCGTCCTCGAGCGCGCCCGCCGCATCTACATCAACCGCGTCTACGGCATCGAGCACTGGTGCGCATGCTCTGTATGTGTGTGTTTGTGTGTGTGTGTGTGTGTGTGTGTGTGTGTGTGTGTGTGTGTGTGTAAACTTATTGGTTTGTGTGTCGCGGAGCGGCGCCATGCCATTGGGTGCCAGCTGTGCGCCACAGCGAACTCTCCGCGTCGTATTCACTTATTCTCCTGTGTCGTGCGCTGCATTGTATGGGTCACGCGCTTGACAGGAACACGCACATTGACTTTCTTGAGCAGCTTGCCAAGAAGACGGGCAAACTCCTCAAGGGCGGCGATCCAAACGTCTCCGCGGTGCGTTGATATGCGTGGAATCGTGGGCGCACTTAATCTGCACTGTTTGCCAAGCTGCAAGTGCATAGCGTGACGCCTTGTCCTGCTCGTGCCGCTGGTGTCAACAGGTTGCGCGCATCGTGCTGCAGGACTGGCAGCGCGGGCGCCTGCCCTACTTCATCATGCCCCCAGACAACCCCGAGTACAACAAGGACGTCTCCACCAACAACTTTGGTGTCACACAGGTGTGTTTTGTGCGTGCGTGCGTGTGTTTGTATGTGTGTGTATGTGTATGTGTTTATATGTGTGTGTGTGTGTGTGTGTGGTCTTCGTGAAGGGATTAAGTGTGCAACATTCACCCTAACTCGCATCACCAACAACTTGCACGTGATCAACCACCACCACCACCAGAAAATCGAGGGGATGCAGGTGACGGCGAAGTTTGATGCGGTTGACCTGCACGGCGCGGCGCTGCTGCCCGAGGGTGAGGAGAAGGACGAGGCGGCGGTGGAGGATGGAGACGGTGAAGAGAAGGAGCAGGAAGAGGAAGAGGCAGCCGGAAACAAGGAGGAGAATGAAGAGGAAGAGGAAGCTTTGCCCGATTGGGATGACTTGGATGCAAGCAATGGCGATGAAGAGGCAGCGACAGAGGCAGTTGAGGTGAAGGACAGCACCGTGCCGGCGGATGACAACGATGCCGACGGTGGTGATGATGATGATGATGTGGAGGAAGAAGCGGAAGGGGAAGAGGAGGATGTTACTGCTGAGGATGATGACGAGGAAGAGGAAGAGGAAGAGGAGACAGTGATGAAGAAGCCCAAGCAACAGAAGGAGAAGAAGGCAGCGAAGGGAAGCAAGAAGCAGCAGCAACAACAACAGCGGCGAGCGGCCTCAACACACAAGGGCTGGACCGTTGAGACACGTGGCGGCAAGCGTGTTGTTGACGACGATGACGATGATGATGACGACAGTCGCCGTCGCCGCCGTGGTCCAAAGGACAAACGCATGACCACCAGCAAGCGCCCGGCCATGAACTACTACGATGTCGTCAACGTCAAGAACCGCAAACGCCGCCAGCCCGAGGCCATGATGCTTCGCCGCCGCAGGAGAAAATAGCTCTCATCTGTGTGTGTGTGTCTGTGTGTGTGGGTTCGTGTTCATCTCACTTTGCTTGGCTTTACCTACGTGCGTTTGATTGAGTTTCTGCTGAAGTCCTCAAGTAAATGGTTCACATCTCCAACAACCGCTTTGATCAGAGCAATCACACGTGATGTGATGTGTCTCCGTCTCGAGTGCATGCAGTTGCACGTGTGTGTGGTTTACCCCATGTATTGATGCATGTGATGATGGGCCGAGCAGCCGCACCACATCAAACATACACACAGAAGCGAACACAACAAGGTGAGGTGCAAGAGCACCATGTAACACAACGAAAAAAAAAAAAAATAACCGAAAAAAGCAATTGATTCAAGTCATCATAAAGCAAGCGTTGACATCATGAGCACAAAAGAAGACCATGAAGAACGACAGTCGGATGCCCACAAAGACACTGCAGGACAAGCAAGCAAGCATTCAAGTAAGAAACAGCATTCATTTACGTGCACACAAACACGTACACACGCACACAGAACCGCACAACATTGAACCATTGGCAACATGGTGGAATGGGTTAGCAGGTAGTGGAAATGATGAACTCGTATGGGGCGCTGTCGCCAGGCGCACCAACCACCAGGGCGAACATGGGCGGGCCCTCGCCCGGGTATGTAACGGACTCCACGTGCTCATTGTCGGTCGAGGTGTCGCTGACGTCAAGGATGGTGCCCTCAAAGTCGAAGAGAACCACGTCCAAGTCGCCAACAGCGTCCTCGAAGTAGACGTCGATGCTGGCGAAGCCATTGGCACAAGGGAAAAACGCATACCAGTCTTCCTCTCCGTAGCACACGGTGGCGTTGAAGGCATCGTTACTGCCAATGACAGTGGGGTTTGACGGACTGTTGTTCGGCTCAAAGTCATCGCTGGTGCAGTCGGGGTCACAGTTGACTGTCACGTCCAGCTGGTATGGCGCCTCGGATCCAGCGAAGCCAAAGACGAGAATGTAGTACGTTGCCTCTGTGGCGTTGGTGTTGAACAAGGCAGCAGTCTCTGGCCAGCCCTCTGTCTCAGCCGAAGCAACTTCCGTTCCAAATTCGTCGTAGATGATGAAGTCCAAGTCGCTATCGTCGCCATTGAACCACAGACTCACAAACAGCGCGCCTCCCGGGCACACGGCCACCTCGTAGTAGTCGTCATTGCCCGAGCAAGCGGTCGCGAGCGCCTGCGTCGTCTCGTTGCCGAGATTCGCCGCCGCCAGCTGCGAGTCATTGGGCTCGTAGTCGTCTGTCAGGCACGACAGCTCCCCGCACAGCAGCGTCGTCTGCATGGTGTAGGGGGCAGAAGCGCCCTCGTAGCCGTACACGTCAAGAAACACGGTCGAGTTGGCGCCTTCGTGGGAGAATACAATCCACTCGTTGTCGGTGGCGCTGGCGGAGTACGTTAGCGGGCTGCCGCCATCATCATACAGGTCCATGTCCAAGTCGCCAGTCTGGTGGTCGAACAGCACTTTGATGATGATGGTGCCGTTGCACACAGGGATGGCAAACCAGTCGTCCTCGCCGTCGCAAATCACGGCAGAGATGCTGCTGTCTCCTCCACCAACCATGGTGACTTCACCGGGTGGGCTGTCGTTGGGCTCATACATGTCATTAACGCAGCCCGTGAAGGAGGTGGTGGTTGTTGTCGTGGTGGTCGTGGCGTTGGTGGTGGTTGTTGTCGTGGTGGTCACGGTGGTCGTGGTTGTTGTGGTTGTGACGGTGACATTGCAGTCCATGTCCGCGGTGGAGAAAGCGCAGAATCGGCTAATTGAATGGTTGTGGTGGCCGGGATGACGTGAACATGATCGCACCAAGGGGGTGGCGACAGGCGTGGATGAGTGAGAGCACAAGCGGTGCAGTGTGTGCGTGATGCGCAGTGCGTGAAGCGTGGTGGATGATGGCTGAAACAGCGCAGACAAGCACGAGTACACAGGTACAGGTATGCATGACACGAAACTCACTGGCAGGCAACAATGGCCTTCATGTCCTCAAAAGAAGATCCTGGTTCCATGTCGGGGCAGTCGGAGAGGCAGATGCCGAGATCAACGAAGGTGGTCTCTGTGTGGCGTGAAGCACTTGCCATGCAGTTCACGAATGCATCCCGCACATCGTCCTCAAACACGCTCTGCAGTGTGCGTATGTGTGTGGTGGGGGGGGGGGGGGAGGGGGAGGGGGAGGGGACGGGAGTCAGTGTGTGTGT